TTTGGCGCCCTAATTTAAAATTTAATTTTAAATTCTGCTTGGAGCGGGATCAACCTCTCTCGTCTCTTGCGTGGGCATAAAGTAGCAAAGGTCGCGGATCTGACTGACTGCCAACCTCCCCATTATTATTATTGGTGCTACAAAAACGAGGCTCTGGCGACCGAGCCGAGGCGGTAAAACCTCCATCGGTCAAACACCAGAGGGAAACCTTTGGTCACCGAGGGAGCCCACTACGGAGGCAACGAGAGACTAAGTTGGTTTCCGTATGGAAGCAGGCGCTGCCGACTTGGTTTTTGCCAAGTCGAGCAAGTTGATGAGGACACCACCGGCTATGGCAGGCGCTCCGGCGTCTGCGCCGCAGAGAGTCGCAGTGGGCGAAGTATTCGTCTTCTGCGCACCCAACGAAGCCGAGACCCCGAAAAGAGGCAGGGACTCTGTGAGTCCTACAGCTGGCCAAAGGCAAACTCCCCCCAAGAAGTCGAAGTGCTCTCCCATACCGTTTGAAGCGATAAGTGAGATCGGCCGCATCCTGGATGAGCTCTTGTCCATGGTCAACGCCAAAAAGCCAGTAAGGCATATAAACCAGGAGATGAAAAACTCCATGGCCCGAATGCGCGAGCTCCAAGAGTCGGTTAGCTCCTACTTGCAGAGCTCCCCGAAGAATGCTGAGCAGCACAGCTGCTGCAAGGAAACTGTGGAAGGACGTAGCCCGCCACGACGGGTATCGAATGGTGTGCAAACATCACCGCTACCTCTCCCTGAAGATGACAGGGCCACCAAACCTGGCAAGCCAAGTGCTAAACCAGGCAATGGCCAAAAGGTCGAGGCAAAAAAAGCACCGTCAGCAGGTGCCAAAGAAGGTGACTGGAAGAAGGTGGAGTCACGAGCAAGGCAGCCACCCAGGCGCAAAAGTCGGCCAGATGCAATTCTGGTGAAATGCATGGACAAAGCTGCTTATGCTGACGTTCTGAAGGCGGTACAGAGCGAAAGCTCGCTGCAGTCGTACAAGCAAAGTGTCACGGCTATTAGGCGCACTACGGCAGGCGAAATCCTGCTTAGGATGAATAAAGCTGCGGACGAAAACACCTCAGGTGTCCAAAAGGCGGTCCAAAATGCTCTTGGAGAAAAGGCTGAGGTTCAGTCAGTCTCAGACAAGGTGGTGGTTGAGATCTGCAACATCGCCGAGTGGACCACAGCGGATGAAGTTTTAGAGGCAGTGTTCGCGCAATTGGATTGCGATCTGAACGCAGATGCAGCGCCCAAATTAAGAAAGGGCTACAGCGGCACCCAAATTGCCTCGATGACACTCCAAAAAAGTGTAGCAGACCAACTACTTGGTCAGAAGAACCTGCGCATTGGTTGGTCCATCTGCCGAGTTCGTGCGAAAATCGAGCCCAGAAGATGCTTTAAGTGTCTAAACTTTGGCCATATCGCGGCAAGATGCAGAAGCAAACATGATGCGAGCAAGCAGTGCTTTAACTGCGGCGCCAGCTCCCATGCATCTAAAGAGTGCAAGGAAAAACCTGCCTGCATCCTATGTAGTAGGACTGCCGAACCAAATAAGACTCACCACACTCTGAGTAGGATGTGCCCGATGTATCAGAAGGCGCTTAAATCTCTCCAAAATTAGGTTTTATCAACTGAACCTAAACCATTGTGGAGCGGCCCAGGATCTCTTAACGCAAACGGTCCGGGAAGAAAGGATAGACATTGCCATATTAAGCGACCCCTACTCACCAAAGCAGGAAGGTGTCTGGCACCAAAGTAGCGAAGGCGGAGCAGCCATCTGGAGCTGTAGCCAGCCGCCAGCACAGCTCACCCATCGGAAAGCATACCATTGCTTTGCAAGAGCCCGGTATAAGAGCACCTATATCTATAGCTGCTACATACCCCCGAGAATCCCGTTGCCAGACTTCCAAAGAATAATAGAAGAAATAGCTCAGGATGCAAATGAGAAATCTCCTGTCATCATCGCTGGAGATTTTAACGCATGGGCCACAGAGTGGGGAAGCAGAGCAACCAATCCAAGAGGTCGGATTCTCGTAGACACCCTGGCTCACCTGGATGTCTGCCTACTGAACTTTGGAAATGCGAGCACCTACTGCAGTGCAGGACGCGAATCTATCATAGACATAACCTTTGCGAGTCCTGCGCTTTCACGGATATCTCGATGGACGGTCTCAGGAAGATATACACATAGCGACCATAATGCCATCATAGCTGAGTTCGACTCCACGGCTGCCCAGAACAGACAAATACCCATGCGCCAGGTGGGGTACAAAAACAGCACGTTCAATAGGAATGTGTTCCTCAGCAGCTTCCAGGATATCAGTATGGCAGGTGACTCCAACACTTGTGCAGCTAACATGGCAGACGTCATAAAGTCAGCCTGCGATGCATCAATGAAAAAGGCCTATACTGGAGGTAACAGGCGCTGCCCCGTCCCTTGGTGGAATGAGGAAATATCGCGTGCTCGAAACGAATGCCACTCAGCAAAGCGACGACTGCAGAGATCAAGAGGAAGACCCCATTTTGACCAAAACCTAGGTATCCTCAGAGGGAAACGAAGGCTGCTCAGTCACCTGGTCAAGCGAAGCAAATCGGCATGCTTCCAGGAGCTCTGCGAAGCTGCAAACGCGGAACCATTTGGTGGAGCATACAAATTGGTTATGGGTAAACTTAGTAGACAGCCAACGCAGCTGGAACACATCGTTACCACACTGTTCCCCCGGCAGCCACCACTTACTCCTCTTATGGGCCCAACCCCCGAGGTAGAACACGCGGCGCTTACTAACACAAACGAAGTGCTGGAAATAGCGGCGAAGCTTAAGGCGAAGAAAGCACCTGGGCCTGACGGCATACCCAACACGGCCCTTAAGACAATAATTGCCGCACGTCCAGATACATTCGTTGAGTTATTCCACAAATGCATTGGTGAAGGCACAATCCCACGAAGATGGAAGACCCAGCGGCTGGTACTCATTCCCAAGCCGGGGAAACAGCACGAGGACCCGTCAGCCTATCGTCCCTTGTGTATGCTGGACTCGATTGGCAAGATCCTGGAAAGACTGATCTGCAACCGCATAGAGGACGAGCTTGAAAGCCGGCAAGGACTCTCAAATCATCAATACGGCTTCCGTAAGCATCGGAGTACAACCGATGCCATTGGGGAGCTTGTGAGAATTGCTAGCAACGCCATCGAAGGTGAACGGAACAACAAGGAGTACTGTCTAGTATGCACGTTGGATGTAAAAAATGCCTTCAATACAGCAAACTGGAGCAAAATCATTGAGGCCCTGATACAAAAAGAAATCTCGCCGTATCTGATAAAGCTTATCGAAAGCTACTTTGAAGAGCGCACACTGTTGTACGACACGGACACGGGTGAGAAACAACAGCAGATAACCGGTGGAGTCCCCCAAGGTTCTGTACTTGGCCCCCTCCTCTGGAATATTATGTACGATGGAGTTCTGCAGCTCGTTCTGCCAGCCGGGTGCACCCTCATTGGGTTCGCCGACGATATCGCCCTGGCAACAGTTGGCAAAAAACTAGAGGAGGTAAATGCTAGATGCAGTGCTGCGGTCGAGCAAATCATTAACTGGGTAACAACGAATGGACTCTGCCTTGCTGAACAAAAATCAGAAGCAGTAGTGATAAGCAGCAAAAAGAAGGTAGAGAACACATCCATCCGAATTGGGTCTACCACTATCGATTCTCAACCGGCAATCAAGTACCTGGGGATAATGATTGACCACAGGCTCAAGTTCAGCCAACACTTGCACTACATTAGCCGTAAGGCGGCTACAGTAACCACCGCCATAAGCAGGATCATGGCAAACACCAGAGGCCCCAAGCAGCAAAGCCGCCAACTCCTAGCTGGAGTAGTCACCTCCACCATATTATATGGCTCGGTGGTCTGGGCTTCGGCGTTGAACACCCCTTCTTACAGCCGGGAGTGCAAAGGAGTGTACAGGAGATGTGCCCTTAGGGTTGCCTGCTGTTTCCGAACTGTATCCGAGACAGCAGCCCTCCTGGTTGCTGGGATGATTCCCTTAGATCTGTTGGCAGCTGAAAGGAGTCGCGGCACAATAGTTAACCATAACCAAAGAGATGCTACAATTGTGCATTGGCAAGCACGATGGGAGTCCGCACCAAACGCTCATTGGACTAGGCGACTGGTGAAGAACATTCGGCCCTGGCTCAAGCGTCGCCATGGGCAGGTGAACTTCTATCTGTCACAATTTTTGACAGGCCATGGATGCTTTAAAGCCTACCTGTTCAAATACAAGCACGCTGATGATCCCATCTGTGACCACTGTGGAGCCGGTGTTATTGAAGACGTCGAGCATTGCTTTTTTGAGTGCCCAATCTTCCAACGCGAACGCGACAGCTTGCTGAATGGAAACGGAAGTCTATTAACGGCTGATAACGTTGTAGACTATATGCTGTCAAATGAGGATCAATGGAATGCAGTAGCGCACATGGCAGCGACCATTATGAAGGAATTGCGACGGCGAGAAAGATCTCGCTCTTCCCGCACTACCCGATGAGCTCCCCCAGCCTTATCCGCCCCGTGAAGTAGAACTGCAAAGCCCAATCCCGCGGGAGCGGATTCTTTTCTTCACTCTACTTAGTTTACTTTATTCTAGTATGTAAATATATTATATTCTTTCTTCTATAGCTACAAATAAAAAAAAAAAAAATGTGTAGAGAATCGCTTCTTCACTCCAATTCATTCGATAAATGTTTAATAATATAAGCACTTTATTTAATATAGATATGATATACAGCTTTTACAGTTTTTCCACTTCGTGTTACAAATTTCTTTCCTTAGAGAACACACGACCTTCTTCGTTTCAAGCTAATTCTCTACTCCCCTCAACTTCTTATATTTCCCTCTCTTGACGTTCCCTTCTGTTAAACCTAATGCTAAGAATCAGATGTTCTGTTAAATCAAGATTTCTGGAATCGCTCATGCAAGATGGCAGTCCTACATTCGGCTATTCTGACAATTCATTCGTCCCGAATGACGGCGACCATAGTTTCATGTATTCCGCAACTGTGTTTGTCTTGATAGGGCCTTCATCATCTCCAACCTTTTCCACGAGATATCTTCCATGTCTCAACTTGCGTGTAACGGCATAGGGTCCTAGAAACTTCTTCTTCAACTTCAAACCGGCTCCAAACTGCGTCCGTTTGATAGCGACTAAATCCCCAATTTTATAGTCTGTTTCTGGTTTCCTAGACTTGTTGTATGTCTTGCGATTTTCATCCTGAATCTTTGAGGTATTTTCCTTGGCTTCTCGACGAATATTTTCTTTTGCTTCTTGCAACTCGACTAAATAGTCTTCTTCCAGTAAATTTCCCAAATCAGTATCGTACTTAGTCTTCATGTTCATTCCAGTTAAGATTTTAAACGGAGATAGTTTAGTACTTCTAGGTGGTGAAGAGTTTATAAATTGTTGAACTCTTCCTACGTGTTTGTACCAGGCTTTCGGGTCTTCTGCACAAAGTTTGGTCAGTAGGGTGATGACGATCCGGTTGATACGCTCAACTTGGCCGTTGCCGCGGGGCACTCCTGTGGCTACTAACAAATGTTGTATATTGTTATCCTTGCAATATTCCTCAAAGACATTCGCTGTAAACGCTCTTCCTCGATCTTTTATCAAGCGGCTTGGATTACCGAATACTTCCGATTGCCTTTGTAGTCTGTCCACGACCTCATCGGCGCCAGTGCTTTTGGTAGGATACAGCCACACAAATTTAGAAAAAGCGTCGACTACTACTAGGATATGATTGTACTGCTTTTTGGTCAAGTCCATCGGACCAACGTGGTCGATATGGTACGTTTGTAAAGGTTTATCGTATTAAGATAACCCTCCTTTTTCCCATACTTCGCCTCACCAACTATACATTCTACACAAGACTTCACAATTGCTTGAGCTTTTCTATCTAGTTCTGGGACATAATAATCACGCTGAACCAGATCGATCGTCTTTTTTACGCCAAAGTGTCCTTGTCGGTGGGCTGTGCGGATCATTTCGACTTCCATGGCTGACGGAATTACGATAAGCTCTTTTATCGGATCCTTGTGAAGAATTTCGTGCTTGAGATAGAAATCGTCATAGGTATTTGTCTCCAAAACTTTCACAACAGCCTTTATCCACTCATCCTGAAGTTGAGCCTGCTGAATTCGATGTCTGACAGAATCCTGGGTTAACAAGCAATGAACTCGGCTTAAGGCGTCGACGTGTTTCATCCTTGTGCCTGGGCGATGCTCAACAAGAAAGGAAGCTAGCTTCGGCAAGCCGAAGCTTATATACCCTTGCAGTTACTAAATATGTCGAACAAAATTCATAAAAGCTAAAGAGCATCGAAGCTATGAGGATTTTTCTATTAATTTTCCATATTGTTCATATGACAGCTATATAATATACTCGTCCGATTTTAATGAAATTTAATTTGTAACTCAAGACTCATTAGAAAACTCTATATTCCAAAAATCATTATTGTCTGATGAAAAACAACGAGGTTATAATTATATTTCCGTTATTTCTATATAGATTTTTCGATCTTTCCTATGGCAGCTCTATGATATAGTACTCTCAACTTAAGAGTATTTAAAAAACTTTATGTTCCAAAAATCATGCTCGTGGCATTAAAAACAACGACATTATAATTTTTTTCCATTATTTATACAGTCGACTCTCGTTAATTCGAAACTCGAGGGACTCTTGAAATATTTCGAATTATCGAGTGTTTGAAATATCAAATGGTTCGAAATTTCGAAATTTTCGAAAGAACTTTGTTATACTGGCTTGCTTTAAAGCACAATTCTGCTGCTCACACTGCTCAATAACTTTTTTAAGAAAAAAAGTGCATGAAATACTTTTTCATCACTTTCGTTTTGTAGACATATGTAAGCTTTGTAAGGTATCAAATGAGGATCTTGCTTCCTTAACTGACACCTCTGCCAAAGGTTCTTTATACTTTCTAGGGCTCATAGCTAACACTAACTTTTAATATGCATACCAACGAAAGAGTAACAGTAACTGAATAACTACACAAACCAATTCGTAAGAAGTGTGTGCGTCAAAAACTACATAATCAAAACAAAAACAAAGGCAAGTTTGAACTTGTCGCAAAATTTTTTCTCTGCAACTTTGAATTGTCGAGTGTTAGACTCTGATGAGTTCGAATTAACGCGTGGTTTTGTTAAATATCAATGATTTTTTCGTTCGAATTACCAAGTGTATGAAAATGTATTGATTTAGTTCGAAATATAAAGAGATTTCGTAGGGACCTCGTGATAACTTTGAATTATAGAGAGGTTCGAATTATCGCAGGTTTGAATTAACGAGAGTCGACTGTATATATATATTTTGATCTCTCCTATGGCAGCTATATGATAGAGTTATCCGATTTTGATAAAATTTAATCCGAAATTCAATAACAGTTAGAAAACGCCATCTGGAAGGAATCAAGTCGATCTGATCAAAAACAACGGTGTAAAATTTTTTTATTTCATTCTCTTGTATGGGAGCTATCCGATATAGTCGCCCGATCCGGCTCGTTCCGACATATATACTGCGTGCAACAACTACACAACTTTTGGGAAAATTTCAGCGAGATAGCTTTAAAACTGAGAGACTAGTTTACATAGAAACCGACAGGAGGACAGACAGACAGACGGACAGACGGACAGACGTACATACATATTTCGATTCAGATGGTGATGCTGATCAAGAATATATATACTTTATGGGGTCTGAGGTGTCTCCTTCACTGCGTTGCAAACTTCTGACTGAAATTATAATACCCTTTGCTCTGCAAGGGTATAATAATATAATCAAAATCTTGCAAGAACATTGCCCAGCGAGCTACTTTTACGGGAACATCATTTTTGCGCATTGTCATGGCAAAGGCATTGCAATCTGTTATTATCTTTACCTTCTTTCCGAGCAAGTAAATTCTCCACTTCCTTAAAGCCTGTAGTATAGCGAGTACTTCTAGCTCATAAGATGGATATTTCTCTTCAGTTTCTGTTGTCTTGCGGCTCATGTACTCCACCGGGTGATATTCTTGATCAACAGAATCTTTTTGCAAGAGCACAGCTCCGTATCCGTACATGCTTGCATCACAATGCACTTCTGTGGCACTCTTTTGGTCGAATAACTTTAATACTGGAGATCTGGATAAGAATAGTTTTAACTGGTTAAACGATGCTAACTCTTCTTCGCCAATTTTAAAGAAAGCATTTTTCTTGAGCAGATTTGACAATGGTCTAGCAATAATGGCAAAATCCTTCACAAATCTCCGAAAATAGGAAGTTAGGCCAAGATATCGCTGAACTCCTTTCTTGTCTCGCGGAACTGGAAAATTTTCGACCGCCCACGTCTTTTCTGCTGACGGTTGGATTGTGGCATTTTCGACTATATACCCTAAGAACTGAACTCTTTTCTGTAAAATCTGACACTTCTCCCACTTAATGCGTAGACCTGACTCTTGTGCTACACTCAAAACCTTCTTAAATTTCTCCAGTCCTTCACGCTCATCTTCTGATGGAATTATCAGATCGTCCATGTACAAAATCAGAGTACCGTCTTCAATTAATGGTCTGAGCACCGCAAATATGTACCTCATGAACACAGCTGGAGAATTGGAAATTCCAAATGGTACGAAGCAGAATTCGTACTGTCCGCTTTGAGTGACAAATGAGGTATATTTTCTGGAACTCTCGTGTACGGGGACATGGAAAAATCCATTTGATAAATCCAATGTTGTAAATACTTTTCCTTTTTGAAGCTTCTGCAAAACGTCATCAATCAGTGCCATAGGGAAATTATCGCGAATAATCTTTTGGTTCAATTTCCGATAGTCGCAACAGAGCCGTTTAGTGCCATCCTTTTTGGCCACCAGGACAATGGGAGAGGCGTATTCCGAAACACTTTGGCGAATGATTCCTTCCTTGAGCCAATCCTTGATCTGCTTAACAACTTTCTCATTATCCTCGAACGGTAAACGTCTGGGTCTCTGGTACACTGGAATTTCATCTGTCAGAAGAATCTTCATTTCTACTGGGCTTGATTCAGGCTTCCCTGGCTGATATGTTTTAATTAACTCCACCACTTCCGACTTTAAATCATGGCACAGATGAATGAGATCTAAATCTGGCACAATCTCTTCGTAAAAATCTGCTGTCATTAACTGATAAAACGTTTCTGTCAAGTCTGGTACAGTTGAAGCTTCCTCAGCAACAATTTGATAATCACTTTGATGAGTGCTGTTTATCTCATTGTTCCGGCTAGAGTTATTAATTACTCGATCCTCGACTACAGTGCGATCATTAACATTTGCGATGATACTTTATGGAAAAACACTCCCTTTGCTCCAATAGTTGCGTTTACGTTGTCCAAAACATCACTGCCAATCACACCTTCATAAAGAGTATCTTTGTCGCGGACCACATGGAAGCACATGTCAATGGCAACGTCGTCCAACTTTGTAGCAATCATAAACGAACCTAAAGTGTAGATCTTTTTGCCTCCAATTCCAACTAGCTCCTTAATATTTGGTTTTAAAATGCCTGGATGGATTCGCATGTAAGCTGTCTCGCAAATAGTACAAATATCGCTGCCAGAATCAAATAATGCCGTAATCTGACCGTTTCCAATATTTATGTTTTTGAATGCTCTATTGTAGGTCGACTGTGACAGTTGTTGATGGTTGGAATTTTCGTTTTTTATTTCCCTACGAGTCTCTCTGGTACCGCACTGATTTGCCTTGTGTCCTATCTGGTTACACTTGAAACATTTAATGCTTGCTTCTTTACAGTCCTTTGCGATGTGGTTGCTGCCGCCACACTTAAAACAGCGTCTTGTCTCTTGGATTGCTCTATTTAACGGAATTTCAAACCTTGGCTTCTGCTTATAGCTCTGACTCGCACTTATCTTCTCATAAATCTTAAGTTTTTCACGAAACTCCTTAAGATAAGAAGCTTGGTATAAGCAGCTTTTATTTTGCTTTGAGTCTGGTATACCCTCTAATGTAATCGATGATGCTTTCCTCATCCAACTTGGACTGATTCGCCAAAGCAGTCATGCTGTAGAAATATTCAATTAAACTCTCTTTTTGAGTCTTCTTCCTGTTTTCCAGCAACTTGTGGACCTGTTTTGCTGTGAGCTTTTCCCCAAACTCATTTCTTAGGGCTTCTTTCAATGAATTCCAATCATTTATTCCTGGTTGGCTGCCTAAGAATAACTTCGCAGCTCCCTTCACTAACTGCCTGCCGTAAATAAATTTTTGAAGATCAGTCCACCCAACTGTAATAGAATTTAGTTCAAAATCTGTCAACCATTCATCGATATTGGGAGAACCGCTTCCAGTAAATGCAGAAAGGGAATCTTCAATGTCTCTTAGTGTAAACGCCATGGTTGAAGGAGTATTAAGTGTGTGTGATTCTTCATACACTGATGAGTCTTCTGAGTGCTCTAAAGTTTCCTCTGGGTCTATATTATTTCCCTCAAAATAGGATACTAGTCTCTGCTGTAACTCTGGTTTGTTCCCTGAACTTTTCAAATTCAATTCTTTTAGTTTATCTCTAAGCTCTGCAACAGAAAATCGTGTGATCTCTTCAACATTCATATTCTTCTTACTGAAATCTAACTCTTAAAACACTATTTCGTCTATTAATATTTTTTGAACACTTTTCTCTTAATAGTTTTAAGAGAATTTAGATGGGAATAATATATGGTTAAAGTTGCAATAAAATAAGTTATATAGAAATTCAATTAAATGTCACAAGTCGTCAAAGAGTTTATACCTGCGCACTGCTTCTTTCCGGTCGTCTTTGTTGATGCACCCCTGGATGCCTTGACTGCTTGGGTTGTCGTTGCGATTTGTCTCGCAGCCGTTGCGCGCCTCCTGTTGAACTGCTTGCCACCTCTTGCCTCGATGTTGATGACGTCGCTGCTCTCGTAGGACACCTTTTCTTGAACTTCGTCGCTTCGTCTCTTTGGTCGACTTCCTCTTCTAATTTTCTTCAGCACCTCCACGTTAGCTTTAACCTCCTCAAGCTGTCACTGTAGCCAATTTTTGTCGCCCTTAGCGAAGACGGATTAATGACGTCACCGCTTTCGTATCTCGCCTCCGTTTAAACTTCTTTGCGTGCGTAGCTCCAGAATTTCGCAATATTTCGCACTACTTGATGGCGGTTGCAAATATGAAAATTCTTTTTTCTTCTCTTGGCTTTTTATCCTTCTCTCTGCTTCTGATCCTCGTTCCTCTTCTCTCTTCTTCGTTGTTAGTGCGCAGAATTTTCGCAGTATTTCGCAATGCTTGATGGCGCTTACGAACTACATATGCAAATTCTTTTTCCTCCTTCTGCTCAGATTTTTTCCTTCTCTCTGCTTCTGATCCTCGTTCCTCTTCTCTCTTCTCCGTTTCCAGCGAGCAGAACTTCGCAGTATTTCGCAATGGATTATGGAATTGCGAAACACGAGAATTCTTGTTTCCTCTTAATTTTCCTCCTTTGCTCAGTTTCTGATCCTCGTTCCTCTTCTCACGACTTTTCTCGGCTTTTCTCTGCTTCTCTCTGCTTTGTGGTTGGTAAGTGACGCGACGCCTCCAGAATTTCAGAATATTTCGCAAAGCTTGATGGCGGTTGCGAAATATGAAAATTCTCTTTTTCTTCTTTAACTCTGCTGCTGCATTAAAACACTTCTCTTCATAACTTCTTGCTTTTTCCTTTGGTTTTTCTCATTTTACTGCGTCAACGATGGATTTTTAGCACAAAACTTAATGGTTTTTGTTGGCCGCATATCACGTTAACTTTCCACGTAGATTCATCCCGGTTGAGCCCCCAAATTTGTAGAGAATCGCTTCTTCACTCCAATTCATTCGATAAATGTTTAATAATATAAGCACTTTATTTAATATAGATATGATATACAGCTTTTACAGTTTTTCCACTTCGTGTTACAAATTTCTTTCCTTAGAGAACACACGACCTTCTTCGTAGAGAATTAGCTACTCCCCTCAACTTCTTATATTTCCCTCTCTTGACGTTCCCTTCTGTTAAACCTAATGCTAAGAATCAGATGTTCTGTTAAATCAAGATTTCTGGAACCGCTCATGCAAGATGGCAGTCCTACATATGTATGTATTTACATATGTCGAACAAAATACAACATCGAAGCTATGACGATTTTCCTATTAATTTTCCATATTTTCGACTATTGTTTATATGGCAGCTATATGACATGGTTATACGATTTCGATAAAATTTAATTCGTAATTCAAGAGTGGTTAGAAAACTCTATGTTCCAAAAATTATGCTTCTCTGATGAAAAAAATGGATAAGAATTAAGGTGCCAATCAAAAATAGTTAATGCATAGTTAAGCTGTAATAAGCTAAAACATCAATTAAACTGTTAATATCTGTATGCAACCTGTTCAATTAGAATTTCTTTTGACACTCACACCTCTCACCCTTTTTTCTACTGCTGTAAATTAATTCGTTTTGGCACAGAAAGGTTTTCGGCTTAAAAAACGTCTTCTTGCTCAAGTAAGCATACATACATACATACGCACTTACTTGTTCTCACACACGCAACCGTATTCTATTTTTAAATTTTTACGCTCTCAACTTTGTGCGAGCGCGCTGAGAGCGAGAGAGGATAGAAGAAGATAGAGAGATCGTTCGTCAGTGGTTAGAGAGGGATGGGGATGTGTCGCGTAACCAGTGCTGCCAACTTTTGACCAGCAAAAAAGCTGTTTTTGACGGAAAGAATAAAGAAAAAAGCTAAAAAAAATTGTTAAAAAACACAATTAAAAGCTAAACAAAAATTTCTCAAAAAGGCGAAAAAAATTCAAAAAATAACGATTTATTAAGTTAAATTAATTTATTGAGTTAGGATTTCCATCATTTAACAATATCTTCTTCGTCTTCCTCATTTGCGTATGACATATTGATTCCTATCATTGAACCGTTTTTTAAACTGGCTTCCCAAGTGGTCAATTTTAGCTGTAATAGTGGTCTTGCAGTAGTTGCAATAAACCCTCTGCTGATTTGTGTCGTCCCTGCGAATCCATGCCTTGAACTCTTCATTTTTAAGCCAGACATCGCGGCATTTTTGTTTATATTCTTTCGGCATTTTACTTCAGCACTTCAAAATTAAGAATTTACGCGCACTTTTTATATAGAGATGGAATCACTATGTGAGTGATGACATTTGCGTACCTATATCGAGAAAACCACATACGCTACCACATTTTCTGGTTTGTTTGTAAGTGACTATCGTAAAGCTGCCACTTTTTCATATTTTATACTTAAGTGTTTATAATACAAAAAAAATCGCGAAAAAGCCGACTGAATTTTTAAAAAAGCCAGATTTCCCGCTTTTCCCAATTCCCGCAATTCACACATTTTTCCCGCAGTTAGCCTTCAAAAAAAGCCAGTTTTGACGGGAAAAAATCCAAATTGGCAGCACTGCGCGTAACCGAGAAATGTGACGCGTAACCGAGAAATGTGACGCGTAACCAAAAAAATGTGACGCTAAATTTTTTCCAACGCCGATAAAGAAGTTTCACTTCAAAAAAATTTTATTTTTTTTATTACATTTTATTACATTCCTTAGCATAGTCTTCTATATTATATAGTGGTTCTATTCTATCTATGCTATTGAAATTTTTTGGTAAGTTTGGAGTTATCCCAAACACTAATTCGTATGGACAATAATCATGTGCCATAGAGGGGGTTGTGTTAAAGCAATATACGAAGTATTGTAGCCATACATCCCAATCTGTTTTATCAACTGAGATATATGAGCGTATGAACTCGTTAAGTGTTCTGTGGCTTCGCTCCACCGTTCCGAAAGTCTGGTGATGGTGTGCAGTAGAATTTATGTTTTTGATATTTAAGTTTTTACATAAATCTTCAATTATTGAATTTTTATATTCTGTTCCCATTTCCATAATGAACGTCTTCATTGGACCGTACTTCAGAATGAAATCTTCAAATATAGCTTTGGCTATTGTTTTTGCACTTTTATTTGGAATTGGTATTGCTACAA